ACTTACCTCTTCCCTACTTCTACCCCTTTTCTTCTCCTTCCTATCTTTTCTCCTTCTCTTTCTTTCTCTTCCTCCCTCCTTCCTCTTCTTCTTTTTCTCTCCCTTCTACCTACCTTCCCTTACCTCTTTCTTCTTCCCTTACCTCTCCTCCACACTTCTTCTTCCTCTCCTACTTCGTATTATATTTGTAAATTGTAGTTATGTTGGAATAAAAAAATATTACAATACTATTTTTGCATTGTATGAAAATTTTTGTTGCTCCGTATAAAATTTTTAATCAAGCCCCCCCCCCCCCAAGTCAAAGGTGTCCCTCTTTACCAATCTGAAAATCTGGTCCTAGCTTGTGTGTATCCCCAAGTTGGAAATCAGGCTGGGATTTTGTTTAGCAGACTTTCCAGAGAAAGCAGTAGGAATTTTGGTTCTCTAAAGCTGCTTTTACTGAATATTACTGGGAGCAGCTTTCTGTTTGAGATAGAATAAACATTTTGAACATCAGTTGACAGAATGTTTTGGGGTGTCTCCATTCGGGTTCCTTCTCCAATTTTGCACCATTAAACCCACATTTCTAAGATCAGCTGTTCAGGTCCCCAACTATGTCTCTAATACCAGTGTGAAACTGGAGACAGGCCTCAATGAAAGTGCAATATGGATGACCGTACTCAACGATTGAATCAGATTATACCCTTTTCTCCTTGGCCATTAATTTTCCATTAATTATGGAAGGTCTTTTACTTGGCATGGGAGATGATTAAGCCAAAGCACTCATTAAACAGTATGAGGAGGCACAGAGCACCAATGCACCCTGCCTCCCTTATGGCACACTTAACTAACCTCAAAGTACCTAAACACCAAAGGGCCCCTATTCTGGCACAATATCACACCTTTACTGAGGTGATACAATGGGGTTTTCCCCCATGTAAGGTAATATGGATGGTTGATAAGAAATAAATATACAACTGTAAACTGAAATAGGCCCTCCTCTGAGATGGAGGGATCTGTACCCATCTTTGAATTTGCAGAAAACTATTCAGACATCAAGGTAAAGGTCGTGAATGACAAAGCCCAACTTACTGTACACACGTTGATATTATCTTTGGATGGTATACAATTAAAGAGAAAATGCTGTTTAATACCAATATACAAAAACATGACTTATTCCTGCCTCATTCATGTGCTGGAGATTAAATAAAAATATAATAGAGATGAAGGAAAGAATGGATGAATGAATCAATGAATGAAATAAAGGAAGGAAGGAAAGAAAGAAAGAAAGAAAGAAAGAAAGAAAGAAAGAAACATATTTATGCCAAAGTTAGATGCAAGTGAAGAAAACCTTAAAACAGTTCTGTTGGCATGTTGTCCTCAGTAATCTTTGCTTGTCACAATTGAAAGAAAAATGTTAAGAGGTTTTTTTTAAAAAATAAAGCATGTTCTAAAATCTCCTCTGAATGGGGGAACTTTCCACCAAACAGTACCTAAGAATCATGAGAACTGTACAGGTAGTCCTTGACTTACAATTGTTCATTTAGTGATCATTCAAAGTTACAACAGTCCTGAAAGAAGTGACATGATCGTTTTTCGCACTTACGACTGCTGCAACATCCCCTTTGTCATGTGATCAAAATTCAGATGCTCGGCAACTGGTTCATATTTCTGATGGTTGCAGTATCCCAGGGTCATGTGACCTTCTGACAAGCAAAGTTAATGGGAAATTCAGATTCATTTAACAACCAGGTAACTAAATTAACAAATGCAATGATTTGCTTAACAACTGTGGCAAGAAAAATCATAAAATGGGGAAACTTACCATGCCTCACTTAACAACATACATTTTGGGCTCAATGGTCATAATTTGAGGAGTTTGTGTATTTCTGTTGACCACATGTTTACAATAGGAAAATGAATATTTTGGATTGATTTTGCAAATTTAAAAGATAGTGTCCTTGAGAGGGATGTGATGAAGAGCAGGAGGGCGTCTTTAATTCTGCATTCCAAATCGGTAATATTTTGCAGTTATTTTGTATTTATATTACATTGATATTTAGTAAAATTTATTTAAAAAGTCAAGTTTCGTTTCTATTTCCTTTTAAAGGCTTGCATTTAAGCAGTCCTCCTACTTTGCTTCCCCTGAATATGGAACATTTGGTGTAATCTCTTCCTGCCTAGCCTACATGATGTCAGCTGCGTCTTTCTATACATGCTAATGGCCCACATCTAAGAGACACTGAGATGCATATTCTTGCAGGGATCAGCTGTCATTAAGTGCATCACTGCAATATTTGTCTTTTGGGAGATTGGATATCATGTTTGAAAACCATCTAAAGTGTGTGAAGCCTTTTAGAAGGCTTAGGCATCATTGTCCTTTCCCTTTTCTTCAAATATGGTTGGGAGTTTTTTCTACAATTAGATCAGGGGTGTCAAACTCAAGGCCCAGGGGCTGGATCTGGCCCATGGAGTGCTTAGATCTGGCCCATGGGGCTGCCCTGGAAACAGTGAAGAACCTGCCCGCGGTACCTCAGCCACTGAAAACGGAGGCCATTGCAGCTGAAAATGGAGCTCATGACTGCTGTAGGAGGCCCTTCCGAGCTCTGTTTATGCTGGCAGAGGGTCGCAGGAGGCCATCACAGCTGGAAATGGAGCTTGGGAGCACGTTTTCACTGGCAGAGTGCTCGGGCCACCAAAGGCACCCCTGATACAAGTGATGGCCACCCTGGCCATGCCCCCCAGCCCCCCCCCCCCGTGGTCAAACGCAACCCTGATGCGGCCCTCAATGAAATTGACACCCCTGAATTAGATGATTTGCTTCTGAATGTCTATGGTCCAAACTCCAGTGGAGTTTCTGGGACTGGAAAAAAGTGGTGTTGGGAATTATATATCACTTGGGGTATTTCTTGCCCATGATACAAAGTACTTGAACTTATATTATTATTGTATTATATTATAATATAATATAATATTATAATAATTATTATATTATGCACATATATTAGAAATGTGGAAAACATGAAAGATGTTTTTACAGTATCAAGTCTGGTTGGACTTGCAAAAAATCTAAAAAATGTATAATTCAAATACATAGAATGAGACAAAGAATTGTAAGAGAAATGATAAGTAAACACAAATCCCGATTGCACTGTTAGTGTTGTTCTGGAAAATCTTTTTAGTAACTGACCCACCAGTTATCGTTCTTATCAATTCACCTTGAGCTGTGCAAGACATACTGTTCTGCATTTGGCATGTTCTCTTGAACTTTTCTTCTGAACTTTGTACTCCTGTATTTTTCTATGTAATGCCACTGACTGGAAGCCTTTTTTTTTTTTTTTACTTATAGTTGTTAAATTTCTGCAGATAACCGGGAGTCTCTTCCAGTTGGTTAGCTTCTACACAACTTCCTCATTGTGCTCTTATTACAGGCAAATATTTAACCACATGTTTGTTTTATGAGTTGCTAGCTCAGTTGGAATTAGAAACAGCCTTGGAATTACCTCTGCGATCTCAGATCAACAGAAGGATTAAGAAAAGAACATGACACAAAGAAGACGGGTACACCATATTGTTTCCTGGGATTGCCTATAGAATTGCATACATCTAACACCTATAGCTCTTCTCAGCATGGCCATTTTACCCTCTCTGGAAATGTGGTAAGTTTTGAATACGAGAGATACAACCATGAGATTTTCTGAACTCACAATGCCATGTGGCGGAGTGGAGGTGGAGCGGAGAGCATTTTTTCAGGGGTTATCAGAAAATTAGAGAGGATGCTTAATTCTCCTCCCAACCCCTTATTTTCTTTTGCAGCTTTCCTCTCCTTGAAATAAACCTAGGAAAGCATTGGCAGATGCTGGCCAATTGCAGAGGAACTATTTGATTTGAACACCAGGCTTGAAACAGACTAGATAACTAAGGGGAGTTTTAAGTATCAATTGCTCCCCGGCTTCTTCTTCTATAGAAATCTTTCTCCACCACTTCCTTGATTTAGGAGGCACTAATTTTATGGTGGTATCTAGTATAGGGTGCTTGCCAGAGATGTAAGGGATTGGTTATATTCTAAATTGCTTGACATATTATTTGAAGAGTATTGTAGCTTTTGCATGATATTCATATAATAATACTTTATTTTCAATAAAAAGCACATTTATTTTCAATTTCAAACAGTTTAGCACATTTGAATAATACAGTAATTGCAAAGACCTTCCTAATCCTCCTCTGTAATTTATGACTACTGCAAATTCCATCTATCTTTGCCCTGCTTGATCCTTTCCTCACTAAACATAATTTGCTCATGTTTGATTGCAGTTTATCTCTCTTGTTCAATTTTGACATGATACCCTAAGTAGAATGCAAGGGTAATCCTACAGAAGAAATCTGTTCCCATCCCATTTGCTGTGCTTTGTTAGTGAAGACAGAATGTTAGGAGCTTCAGTAATGAATGGGAGGATGAACCAGTGTGAGCATTCAGGTCACTTCTGCTCAGAATGAGATGGCTGCCTCAGAGCAAAACATAAGATGGGGACATGAGAGATAGTGGTGGATACCTCTCTAGAGACCATCTTGGGGTTTCTTTACTCTCTTGGAGGACAGGACCTGAGTTGTACCCACTAAGTAGTGTATTGTCCTCAAATATAATGGTGGATGATGTCTTATCATTAAGGCTAAAGGAAGATTTACTTATAGATATGGTTGACTTCCTTATGGGAAAAGGGAGGGACACCTCATCTTGCTTGTAGCTTCAGACTCAATGAAAAGGGCAGGGCTATTTCCTCTGAGTATTGGTTAATAAGATTATTTCATGGACATAGTTCATGGAAGCACTGGTGCTGATGAGAGAATGTTGGACCGAGTCTGTGTTCAACCCTCTGCTTAGCTGAGTTCTCTGCTCAGCTAAACCTCTTGAGTTTCAGGCTAACCCATGTGCAGGGTAGTTCTTGTTGCGCAAAAGAGAATGGCTTCCTCGTGATACTCTGACTCACCTGCAGAGAGGAAAGAAAAGGTAGATCGGTAGATACTCAGAATACTGGAATACTGGATAGATTAGGATACAGCTAGTCCTGACATTCACAATTGAGCCCAAAATTTCCATTGTTAAGCAAGACAATTGTTAAGTGAGCTTTGCCCCATTTTACCACCTACCACAGTTGTTAAGTGACTCACTGCAGTTAAGTTAGTAACATGGGTGTTAAGTAAATCTGATTTCCCCATTAACTTGGCTTGTCAGAAGGCTGCAAAAGATGATCACATGACTCAAAACACTACAATCATCCTACATACATGCCAGTTGCCAAGCGGCTGAATTTCGATCACATGACCACAGGGGTGTTGCATGTGAAAAACAGACATAAGTCACTTTTTTTCAATAATTTTGAACTGTCACTACATGAATGGTTGAAAGCTGAGGACTAACTCTAGATGGTATATTTTTGTAGATTGCAATCCCACTGGCATCTACAAGTACAGAGTTTTGCAATGAGGGGTTTTCCAGCCCTACCAGGTGACGCCAGATATAAAAGCTGAGCTCTTTTGCCTACAAGTTACCCAGTATATTATTGTGCTTTGGCAGTTTCCCCTAACTTGCTACAGAAGTTGAATCAAGAAAATTTAGACTGCACACTTACTTAGAATTGTATTTCTTTATTTGTCCCACAAAGGCATTCTCCATTTTTTCCATTGGAAACTGTGGCACTATTTAATCTACAGTATGTAACTTTCAATTAAATACGTTGTTTGCATTTGTGTATTCTATGCAGTCATTCCCCAAATCAAACCTATAATGAGACCTGCAGAAGCCTAACAGACCTGGAGCCTGTTTTGCATTATTCACTTCTTCCATCAGTAAGTAAAACTAAAAATCTTAACATAATTGCAAGCAACATTCCTTGACTTCTTGGAACCCATGAATTTTCTTTCCTTCTTTTGTAGATTGCCATAATAGTTGTGCTATCTTGTCTTGAAAAGAGAGCCAGGAGAAATGTAATCGATGAAAAATGCCACCTCCTCAATAGGAGGTGTGGGGTTGTTGTGTAAGTCGGCAAAATTATTTTGTTTCAGTCTTTTTTACTTCCTCCTTTACTGCTTCAGATGTCGAGGAAGATACAACATTTTGGCTCTTGTTCTTTTGGCAGCCTCAACCATTATTAATTTATGTTGTAGAGTTGATATTTTGTCTCTGCATCTTCTTCTGGGTCTGCCTAGTGTTCTTTGACCTTATCTTCTTTATGTATGCTTTGTTGTACGATATAGAATCCCACAACATCCCCTCCAGGTAAGCAAACTTCTGTCAGACCTAAAGGCTCAATGTAAAAGATGGCTTCCAGGTCTGACATCTTTTACATTGGGCCTTCAGGCCTGCCAACTTCTTTAGTTCTTGTTTTTGTATGCATTTTAAGATTGGTTCTATGGCAATTCTTTCTCTTATGGTCTCATTTGTCATTTGCTTCAGTACCTGCATAATTATAGCATATTTTAGGTTAGAGAGTAGAAGCTCAGGCAGCCTTTAGGATTATAGACACTTTCTAATTCTGAGTTAGAAGAATATAAGAGGAGCTGCCTTGCTGGACTGGAACATAAAACTACCTTGAATCTCAAGGAATATAAAATATAGAAATATAGGTCAATCAATCGATCAATCAATCAATTCATACTGAGTCAGGTAGATGCTACAGATATCTAAAATTGGAAAGCCATCTGGTAAAAGAGAGCCCGCATGCCAGCGGTGGGTTTCACTTTCACTTTTTACCACTAGTTTGCTGCATGTGCGCACCTTCTGCACATGCACCTGGCTTTCTGTGCATGCATTTTTCCCTCTCTAGCACCTTCTGGGCTTGCGCCTGGCCTAAAAAATGTGGCTAAATATGGCGGCATAGAGCCGGGGCCACGATCTCCGCTACCAGGTCTTCCGAACCGGTCCGAACTGGTTGAATACCACTTCTGCCCCATGCCTACTACTGCCGCTTGTTCTACTGTCAAATGCTTCATCCCATGTAGACATTCTATGCCTAATTGAAAGTTTAAAACATGCAATTTTTAATATCTTTTTTTTTCTTCACAGGCCCTTAGATTTAATGGGAGTATGCAAAAGTCGTTGGGCAATGGGTTTTGCCTTTGGAGCTACAGCTAACAAAGTCATGATACTGTTTACAGATGGTTATATCCCTCTGCGAGTGCTGCCAAAATGGATTAAAGGTGAAAGATTCTATTAGAACATTTTAGCCTAAAGCCTAAATTACTTCCCTTCAGATTCTGATCCCGCCTCATCTCTGTGATATAATTTACAAAAAGGGGCTGGGAATAAGGTAAGGAAACAACCAAAAATGTGGAAATTCTCTTTCCAGTATAAAAGATACAGCATGCTGACTAGGTTAACCTGAAGCTTCATTTAAATGTGTCATAAGGCACAGTTAACTTACTTCTAACGTTTCTGTGTCACATTCATCTTTTCTCCTGATTCATCATCAATTTATTCTGCATTACCTTTGGGGGTCTATTTAAGCAATATTCTCATTTAGATGCATTTGTTGAATATTTGCAATTCAGTAAGAGAACAGCTGGCAAACTTCTCACATACTCTTGAACTATCAATTATTACATTTATATACTATAAATCACTCTCAAAAGTGACTCTGGGAAAATAGAAAATTTACACCCAGTTGTGCCAGTGTATTTTTACTTCTGGTACTAGAAATGTCCTTAATAATGAAGAAAAACAGATACAAACTCTGGGCTTGAAGCTAAGTACATAGCAGTCCGCAATTTAACATGATTCACTTAACAATCACAGTGATTTGTTTATCAACCAAAAAAGATGTCATAAATGGGACACAACTCATTTATCAACTGTTTTTTTAGTAACAGAAATATTGGGCTCAATTGCTTCTAAATTGGGTGTAGGACTAGGACCAGGTGAAACCAATCTGGTCCCTGCAGATTTGTTGAAAATGCACCATTTTGACTATGAATTCTGGAATTTGCCATCCAGTTTAGCTGTTATAACCATCAGTGCCAGCACCAGGAACTGAACCTAACAAAAGCCCACATTTTATTATTGAGCTATGGGTCTTCCAAAGACTGGACCTTAGTGCATTTATACCTGCCCATTATCTTCCCATTATGGGGATTTCATTATCTATTTTCTATCTTTTTACAGCCATTGCTATTCTGATCGGTGCCACAGAGGTGGGTCTTTCCTCCTATCCATTCTTTGCTTGCCTTTCAACACCCATGCAGATGACGGGGGCCACACTTGGATTCCTTTACACAGCAGCTTGGTGAGCATCCTGAGAAATTGATATGATTTGTGCATAAAATGATGAGCCACCAGAAGGAGGGTTGTGGGAGAACCTGATAAAATGTCTGCACACAGCTCAATTATACTGTATTTCCAAGAAAGGGCATATGTTCAAATAGTTAAGAATTATCATTACTGTTCAGATCTACTAGCCCAGCTTTATCATAGAAGGCTATCACAGGTTTTTGCCCCAAATTCAGTTGTTAATCATGAACAATGATTCCAAAGTTTCCATCATTTCTTCCTAAAATGGCTTATTTGTTTTTGAAGGCACACCACAGCTAACACTGGAATGCCATAGTTTGCTCTGTCCCTAGCAGACTGTCACACTAGCAGATATCCATCTGCTGAACGTTGCAGCTAAAAAATTGTTTTAAATGCTTTACGGATACTAGAAGACATGACTTGACAAGGGGACAAGAGGAAGACTGAGCACTGAGAATGAGGCAGTGTAATACTTGAGAAATACGGAAAAGAATTCTGAATGAAAGAATGTTTAGAGAAATGGATTGCATGAGCGCTGTGAGAACCTAGGAGAAAAATCCCTGAAAAAATAGACAGAAAGATCCCCATATGAGGAAATAACTCGGGGGCACAGATCATACAATAAGCTAGACTGAAATGCAGCTGGTAAACTCGTGCTTCAGTGTTTTTTTTTACCGTTATGGTTTGTTTATAATTCAGTGTCTTGTGTGATTGCAGAAAATTGAATAAAACAGAATTGCAGATCAGTTAAGTAGGATCTGTGGAAGTGTGACAGCTCATTACCGAGGCAGCTCTGTGCATAGCCTTAGCTTCACACATTTTCCTGCCAGAGGTCAAAGAACTGAATGCTCCTTCTCTCTTTTTCCTTGTCCACAAGTCAATGCAGAAAAGACCTGTCATGTTCTCTTGTTATCTCTGAGGAACTTTAGATCCAGCAGCAATCTCATATTTTCTCATAAACAAATAAACACCTAGAACACAATTAGTGTCACGCCAGATGTTTTGTCACTCATTTGCCAGTTTATCTAGTTTGGTGGTCTTATGCTTTTATGATCACGCCTTGTCTTACCCTCAGCTCATAGAGGGAACCGTTAAAGTTGTTTGTAGCTATTCCCATTTTAAAATCAGTTTTGAAATTGAAATCTGTATCCAAAATTCAAGAATGTTTCCAGACTGAGGCCAACTGGCAAAGAAAAGAAAACCCTGGAAAAAACAGGAAGAATGCCAGTTTGAGAACTCAATGGACAGATGTCAGTCTGTTGGAAAGCAGGGGGAATCTGATGGTGTATCCTGGCTATGGAATGGCAGGGGTTTAGTGGGACGGGGTGGGGAAGGGGATAGATGGATGGATGGATGGACGGACAGTTAGACAGAGAGAAAGATAGAAAAAGATCACCACAATAAAATGCATAACAATTAGCAGTTATAACAAATGAGTCAGGGTGGGGCAGTAGTTAGAGTGCAGTACTGCAGGCTGTTTGTGCTGCCTGCCGGCTGCCTGCAATTTGACAGTTCAAATCTCATCAGGCTCAAGGTTGACTCATCCTTCCATCCTTATAAGGTGGGTAAAATAAGGACCCAAATTGTTGGGGGAAATAGGCTGACTCTGTAAACAGCTTAGAGAGGGCTGTAAAGCACTGTAAAGTGGTATATAAGTCTAAGTGCTATTGCGATTGCTAATTGTCATGCACTTACTGTATTGTGAGTTTGCAAAGCCATTATAGCAAAAGTTGGTGACATACTGAAAACCCAGGTATTGTCTTGGTTATCAAATAGGTCATGGGATACTGTGAGCTGTAGTCCCACTTTAGGCATGAAAGCCAGCTGGGTGACCTTGAGCCATTCATTCTCTCTCAGCCAACCCACCCCACAGGGTTGTTGTTGTGAGAAAAGTAGTAGGAATATGGGCTGGCTATGTTTTCTGTCTTGAGTTATTTGTAAAAATAATAAAGGTGGATGCAAATAAAATAAAAAAATAAAATAAATCTACTTGGACTTTTTATATAGGTTACCTCTCTTTTCAGTCATGTGAAACTTATACATGTTTATCACACAGCATATAGATTTGAATTGCTCCTAATCAAAGTCCCGTCTACAGCTCACAGTATCCCATGACCTATTTGATAACCAAGACAATACCTCTTGTGAAAACCACTGAAACAGGTGTGTGAGTGTGTGTGTGTGTGCCATGAAACCTTATAATTCTTGACAAATGTATCTTGTCTTTTTATGTACACTGAGAGCATATGCACCAAAGACAAATTCCTTGTGTATCCAATCGCACTTGGCCAATAATATTATTCTATTCTATTCTATTCTATTCTATTCTATTCTATTCTATTCTATTCTATTCCAATAGCATTAATTGAACAGGTACTATTTCACACCTT